ATCCCAATTCCTTGTTGGGTCAATTTTGGAGACTTAGGCTCTCTTTCTCAAGAAGAGCCAAGTCAACTTAGCACAAACCAGTGTTTGCAACCACCAATTCATAGATTAAACCATAAAATTGACCCAAATAACAAACACCCATAGTCAATCTAACAATAGATGGCAACACCCATCAATTACCCACACTAGGGTTGAGCTACAACCCTAACTAATAGGTTTAGCTACTCATGCTTGAAGAAGAAAATAAAGAAATAGATGAAGAACAAGGCATATTAATTAAATGCTAATGTAAATACAGAGAATCTATCGTTAATTAGAAGCTAAGATGCTAAAAATGGCTACAAATGAGGTTCCCACAAGCACAGCTCAACTCTGATATATCTGATAACCTAAAAAATGGTAAAATGTTCTATTTATACTAGGCTGGAAAAACTGGACAAAAATATCCATGCGGGGTCAGTGCGGGCCGCATAAAATGGACCGTGGCCGCACTAGGCTCTTGGACTTTAGTTCTGGGCTCTCTGAACTTGGGTTCCGCGGACTGTATAGAATAGACCGCGACCGCGGAGGCAGCTGTCGCGGTCCGCACAACCATGACCGCGGACCGCATTGGCATTTTCCATCTCTCTAAACATCTCTTATGTGGACCGCACAAAAAGATAGTGCAGCCGCGGAAGCTTCACCGCGGACCGCGGAATGTGTACCGCGACCGCGTTACCTGAAGCCCATTTTTGCCAACTCTCTGAATCTCCCTTCCGCGGATCACACAAAAAGGTAGCGCGGTCGTGGAGCCTTCACTGCGGACCGCGAAATGTGTACCGCAGCCGCATTGCTTGAGGCCTGGTTTTGCCTTCTCTCTAAATCACCTAGTACGACCGCATTCCATTTTGTGCGGTCCGCATTAGGCTTGTTTGCCCTCAGTTTACTTTGTCTTTGATACTTGAGTAGGTTTTACTCCATTTGAGCTTATCTTTGACATTTCGCCACTTTGTCAATCAAACATGCAATCAAGCACAACTTATGAGCCTTTTGGGACTATTTTGTAATGATTTATAATTAAAGCATAAGCAAGAAGGAGCATAAAACTCGTTAAAATCTCTACTTATCACTACTCCACCCAACTTTGAGGAACGACAATCAACCTACAAACCTCCCATATTCAATGGTCAGTACTATGGCTGGTGGAAGACCCGTATGCATGATTTTATGATGGTAGAAGATTTAGAACTATGGGATATCATTTGTGATGGTCCACATGTCCCCATGAAGAAGCTTGAAGAAATAGGACCAATGGTGCCAAAAGGCAGAAAAGAGTACAGCGACATTGATAGAAAAGCTGTAGAAAAGAACTATCGTGCCAAGAAAATCTTGATGTGTGGCATAGGACCTAATAAGTACAATAGAGTCTCAGCTTGTGACACTGCCAAAGAAATATGGGAAGCATTGAAAACCTCACACGAAGGAACCACTAAGGTCAAACATTCCAAGATCGACATGCTCACCACGGAATATGAGCTCTTTAGGATGAAGAATGATGAGTCTATACAAGATATGCACACGAGATTCACCTCCATCATAAATAAGCTTCATTCACTTGGAAATGTCATTCCTAGAAACAAGCTTGTAAGGAAAATCCTCAGTGTTCTACCTGGTTCTTAGGAAAGTAAGGTAAACGCCATTAATGAAGCTAAAGATCTACAAACTCTGACTATGGATGAGTTTATTGGTAATCTGAAGACATACAAGATGAAAAGAAAGAAAGACAGTGAAAGAAGAGAGCCTAAGAAGGAAAAAAAACCTAGTACTCAAAGCTGAAAGCAGTGACTCAAGTGATGAAGATAGTGACATGGCCTATCTTACTAAGAGATTTCAAAAGATGGTTTGAAGAAATAGTGGTATACCAAAGTGGGAAAATTCAAGCAAAGCAAGGAACAACGATCTCTGTCACAGATGTGGAAAGCTATGGCATTTCATTAAAGACTTCCCACTTGCAAAACAGGAGCAATAGAAATAAAATCCTAACAAAGCAGCAAAAAGGAACCTGGTTCCAGACAAACCATTCAATCGAAAAAGTGTTGCTGACAATATTGTTAAGCAGACTCTTGCTGTGTGGGGAGACTCCTCTAGTGAATCCGAAAGGGAACCAGATGCAGAAAATAGTTCCATGATGGCAGTGGAAACTGAAGCAACGAAGTATGATTCACTGTTCGCGTTGATGGCTTAGTCTGATGATGATGAAGAAGATGAAGACGATGAGGTAAACTTTAGGGATGTTCAGAGAAATCTGAAATCCTACTCTTCTAAGAAGCTAAGGTCATTAGCAAATGTCCTATTGATGCTTATTATAGCCTTGTTAATAATAAGGAGATCTTGACCATAGAACTAGGAGAGGCCAAACAATCTTGAGATGATATGGTGGTCTGTGTAGTGGACCTAAATAAGACTATAGCTAATCTTGAAAAAGAAAAGGAAGCCTTGAATGAAAGAATAACTAGCGTGGAAAATGAGAGAGACGATATGATGGTAGTAGTTGTTGATTTAAAAGAAACAATAGAAGGTCTTAGCAATGAGAAACATACCTTAGAAGGAAAAATTGCAACTATTGAGTTAGAGAGGGATGACCTTTTAATGATATGCACTGATCTAGAGGAAACCATTGAGGGACTCAATAGAGAACATAGAAATGTGAGTCTTGAGAAAGGGAAGGAAGTAGCTAATGAGACACACATCTTGCTTGAAAAGGAATAAACTATTGTGAAAACCAGTCTATGTAGTGAACTCGAGAAGAATCAGCAACTTCAAGCTGAATTGGAGAAAGTAAGAATTGATCTTGAGAAATCTTTGAAGTGGACCTGGTCCTCAGATGTTGTCACTGCCATGTATCTTAACAATAGTGGAAACATGCAGGGCATCGGGTTCCAAAGGGAGAAAACCCCTTACAACCCTCACAGCAAGTATGTCACTGTCCCTGATAACTGGTTATGTACCCACTGTAGGAACAATGGGCATTTTAAAGAAAATTGTCAGGCCAGGGTTCAGTCTATTCAGAAAAACAAAGTGTTTACTGATAAAGTGACTACTAACAAAGGACCGGGTACCATACATAAGAAGCGGATGTTGCCTGCATGGATTAGGAAACCCTTTATTCATCCTTTCTATCATAACAAGAGACCCAAACTAGTTTGAGTTCCTAAATCTAACCTTTGATTTGCATGTGTAAGGAACAGTGAGAGGAAGCGGACTACGATAGACTATGGATTATGGATGTTCAAAGTACGTGACTAAAAAACATCATGAATTTCTTCTCACTGAAAGCCCTGCAGGAAGGGAATGTATCCTCAAAAAGAAAGGAGAGGGTACATTCTCAGTAAATGTAAAGTTGGAAAGTTTTTTTGGCACTCAGTTGGGAACATGTACTATGTGAATGGCCTAAAGTACATGTACCAATCTAATAACTGACCGAGTGGTCTCAATGGACAAAGGAAACAAGAACATCCATTCGGTCGACTATGAATCTCCAAAAGCTGGTGGTATGAGATGGGTGAAGTCGGAAAATGGGCATGAAAGATTGGTGTATGTAAGCTTCTCATCTCCAAATAAATTAACCCAGAAGGACCTGGTACGAGGTCTTCCAAACTCAAGAGTCACCTGGATACGGGTTCACAAAACAAAGGAGGAGACTCTCGAGGTGTTAATGGTTCTTGTCAAGAAGATTCAAGAGAAAGCAAAAAAGGGGGGGATCACGCACAATTTCTCTACACCAAGGACTCCACAGCAAAATGGTATTGCTGAAAGAAAGAACGGAACTAGAAGATGTGGCATGGAAAATGCTCATCGACTATGGAATCGCCAAAATTCTGGGCAAAAGCAGTAAACACTGCTTTCTACTTGGTGAATAGGTGTCTGATCGGGTCCCTCCTGAATCAAAACCCACTATGAGATGCCAAATGGAAGAAAATGCCTTCTTGACTGAAAGATAACTCATTTGAGAACCTTCTTGACTGAAAATGTCATGTTCTCGACAACGGAAATGATCAGCTTGGGAAGTTCAATGCAAAAGACAAACAAAGGAATCCCTCTGGGGTACTCTCCACAAAGCAAGGCCACAAAGTCTACAACAAAGGGCACACTAAATGGAAGGAAGTGCTTATAGGGTATTCAACAAGACACATTCATCTAGACAAGGAAGAAACAGTGATGATCAAATGATGAACCAACTCTGGTCCCTGGGAAACATCTAATGCTTCAAATAGGGAGGCTGATAAAATGAGTAAGATGAAGGAGACTAGTGGAAGACAATGCAACATCATCTGCCACTTCTTACAAGGAACCTGGTACTTCACTTACTACCACTAAAGTTGAACAAAGAGTGGAGATGCAGCTTATGGAACCTCTCAAGCAACAGAACACAGAGTGTAGGGAAATCAAATTCTTCCAAATCTCTTCTACCAATCAAACTTCAGTCCCAAACTGGAAACACAAAAGCTCCCATCTATGTGACAAGTTAATCACTTTCTTTTATTCTAGAGTTAGATAAGTTTTTTTAAAAAAAACATTTTTCCTTAGTTCCTTCTGTATCACCACTCTAAAATAGAATCCAAAGTGAAAGTCCGTAGGAATCCTACTTGAAAGATGCCCACCGAAGTTTGAGATACCTTAAGGGAACTCAGGACCTGATCCCGTGTTACCCCTCAGGTGACAGCATTTTTAATCCTGTTAGGTATGATGATGTTAACTGTGCAAGTTTTTCTGTGGAAAGGAAAAGCACTTCTGGAATGGTTCACTTTCCATGATCGTGCCTCATCCCTTGGGAAATAAGGAAGCAAAACTCAATGGCCTCGTCAATAACTGAAGAAGAATCTCAAAACAAGAGGACCAAGCACATTGAGGGGTGGGATTATCTTCTGAGGGTCAATATGAAGAAAAGGTTTATCTGTGGAAAGTTTTGCAGAACAGAAGACCAAATTCCAGATATCTTTGTCAAAGCCCTGAGTAGAGAATATTCTAGATCAAACAAGGTGAAGATGGGGTCATAAGAGTCTAATACAAAACTTGATCCTCCATCAGCTGGCTATGCAAGACACTGTCAGGTAAAGGTGGCTAAAGTGTTTTCTGACCAAGCCTAACTCATATCAATTCCGTTGCAGGTAAACACGCATGACAATCATAGAAGCTAAAGGTATAGTATGAAATGTGAGAGAGGAGCTGCTCAAACCTTTTTCAAAATAATTGGTCTAGCATCAGGTTCTTGTACCCCAGGTTAGTAGTAATGTGCTTATTCTGCATGCCTTCACAAAAAAAAATTAAAAAACAAAATTAACTCAACTGCCACATCATCCGACTTTTCAAAGTCTGCATGTCATGTCTTATCATTCAAATCCCTTCATCCCCTCTGCACGGTAACGCTTTCCCACAAACTTACTATTATTTCAGAATCTGTTTCTCTGTCCTCTCATCATTATCCCTTCTTCCAATAAAACTTTCTTTTTCTCTCACAGCAAGTCATGAACCTTCATCTCTTTTGTGTAGATGTGATCCTCTCTTCATCTCTCTCTCTTACTCTACTCATCTTCCAAGTACTCCTATAATAGCAATAGAACAATCGCCTCCTTCTCCCACTATTAATTCCACTCCCACTTCCTTATCATCCTTGAAATCATCCCTAAAGCTTCACTATTTTACTCCTTCTACTACTTTACCCACTCCTAGCTCCTCCTCCTTTCTTACAGTTTTCCCTTTTCTGATAAACCCTGTTCTCTCTCGTTTTGAAAACCCTATGTCTATCCATTCCTCTGATCTCATCAACATACACTTAGGAGGTTTTACCTCTCAAGTGTCAGAAATCCCTGAGGATGATCCTGACCAATATCTGAACTCCTCCATCCTGGACTTCGTAACTCTCTTAGAGTCACTAGAAAAGGAAGCAGCGCATAACATCATGGCTATCGTTACTGGGAGTCTGATAAATGAAGGAGCGTATCTCTCATCTGGGTATCAAGGGGAAGAAACTCCATTCCTAGGGGATGTAAGAACCACAATACTCCTTGAGTCTTTGGCTCATGAGACGTTCTCAGAAAAACCTTCTAAAGAACCTGATTCTCTTCCATGCAAACCCACTCCTACACCTCCTGGTCATTCTAAGATCATAGAATCCTCCTCTAAGTCACCCACTATCAGGTCACAACAGCAAGAGAGTTTTGAGTCCACATTACAGAAAAGTAAGAGGAGTGTCAAGAAAAGGAAAAAGAGGATAATGAATCAAAGGGAATTTGTCACTAACAAGAGTGTTCCAGTAAGTGGGATTGACAAAAATGCTCCAAAGGAACCAGATTCCCTAGTACAACAATCTTTGAAAGCTCGAAAGTCTGTGGATAAAGCTTCCGATGAAATTATTGAGCAACAAAAAGGGTCATCCGTGAAGGGCAGCAGCAAGTCTAAAAGGAGTCAAACAGAGCAAGTTATGTCTGAAGATGATACTGTGGGGATAGTGAGCTGGAAAGGAAAGTCTATTGAAGGGTCTAGCAAACAAAAACGGGAAACTGTTAAAGAACCTGGTTCACTGAGGACCATGCCCTGTGATATTGGTTTTTGGCAGCAGAGATTAAGAACTCAGAATGTCTTGTGGGGTCGTACATTTCATCCAGCAATTTTGGAGATGGACGGTATAAGACAAATTCTAGAGATTGTGGAATTTCAACAATGGGAACACCTGTTTGAAAGGAGCATTCCTCTGGAGTACGAAGATGCGGTACAAACTTTTTACGCATCTCTCTTCACTGTTGAGGGGGATCACATTTGTGCGCTAGTAAATGGAGTAGACATTATACTCGACGCCTCAACATTAGGAAAGGTTCTTAGAATTCTATGTGAAGGGATATCCTCAGTCAAGGGTGTCTATGGTGTAAACTTCAGTAGAGCCATCATGAAGGAGCAAGCTATTCAGCAAGGGGAATAGGTGCATAAGAAGGTATTGCTTCCTGAGTATCAGCTTCTCTTTGAACTGGTCAATAAGGTGCTCTTACCTCGTTTTGAGAGGTGATCTATTGCTACAAAATCAGATATGGTCTTAATGGAAGCGCTTGATGAGTTTGTCCCAATCAATTTGCCAGGAATCATAATAGATCATATGCAAAAGGTGGCAAACTTTAAAAGTGGGAATCATTGGCTACCATATGGCTTTCTCCTCACTCAGGTGTTCAGATTCTACAAGGTCCCTTTGGTAATCCCAGAGTAGGCACAAGCAAGAAAACCTTCTTTAAGACCACTTTAGAAGAATGTGAACGTGTAGAAAGAGTTGGTGGAAGCATCTCGACCATTTCTCAGCTGATCAACGCTCAAAATGTAGCTTCTGAAGAGATTAGAAGGTTGATGGCTCGAAATGCCATATTGGAAACTCAGCTCAGTCAAGCAGTTAAAGGACCTGATTTTGTTAATGAAGAAGTTGCACGACTGACAAAGAAAAATGATAAACTTTGGGAACAATTACTTGAAGAACAACTGTCTCCAAATGCTCGACTGGACCTGGTTCTCAAAACCATTGTTGTTTCTTCTTCCAAGCCTCCTTCTTCTAGTACCCCCTAGGATCCTCTTAGTGTCCAACTATTTTTGCTCTAATATTTTATGGCTTTGCCTTTGTTTTTGTGATGGCATGCTGGTATTCACCATTATGCTCTTGTTCTGCTCAGTCCATTGTAAACATTAATAAAACAGCTTCCCTTTTTTGCTTGTGCAATGTTATGTTCCTTTGGCTTCTCTTTTCTGTCATGTTGTGTGCACATATGTGACATGAGCTATCTGTGTTAGACTTCTTTATGCTAAATACCTGCTTATGCTCCTGCTTGTGCTCTTTTTAATGATGCCAAAAGGGGGAAGAATATACGATTTCAGGGGGAACTTTATGTATTTGTGCAGTTTTTTATGCTTTTGCAAGTCTTCAGGATTTCTGATTTTGCAAGTCTTCAGGAGAGCTCTAAGATTAAGGGGGAATAAAAAAAGAGAGATCTGAGATTAAGAGGGAATCTTGTGTAGTTTCTGGTATCTTATCTGGTTATTTATGCTCTAAACAAATACTATCCATGCCTAAGTTTGTCATCATCAAAAAGGGGGAAATTTATGGGTTTTCAATGTCTTTGTCTGATGTCTTATGTTTTGATGATCTAACAAACTTGTTTTGAAGAACCAGATAGAGAACCTGGCCCCCATGTTATACATTTCAACTGACTTGGTCCAAGTCTGAAAATCAGCAAATGAATGAACGACCAAAGGGAGGAACACAACAGGGACCTGGTGACCTAGTCCCTTAGGGTTCTTCGACACAAGTACAAGTCAGTGACTATCCGCAATCATTATAAAGAGGAACACAACAGGGACCTGGTCCCTAATAGATCTCTGATAGAAGTACATGTCAATTGTACATCTGGAATGTAGCAGCAGAAAGTGACCATTTCGTAACTATTACAGAAGAGGAACACAATTAGGACCTGGTCCTATAGTGTCCTCTGATAGAAGTACAAGTCGACTATCCAACTGGAACGCAACTGCACAGAAGTGGCTGTGCAGACAGTACAACAGTCACTTCTCATTGGGAAGAAGCGTGTACCAAGAATTGGCATCACTATCTATTGTGATATAACAACCTGGTGCAAGGCACAACATTTTTGTGCATTCAGTGATATTCTCTCAAGCATAACAGTGTTCATTCGGCATTGAAGTCACTGGTGTGTCAAGAATAAGAAGACAACTCCACTAAGGATCAGTTTCTTAACGTGTGTATGTACATCCGTAGTTGAGTTGTAATCTTGTTATTTGCTCTTCATTTTATTTCTTAGTTTGCTTTCATAGAAGCTTTATCTTAGGAAAAAAATAAAAATCCGTAAACTTCTGAGTTTATATTGTTACTAGGAATAGTCATAAGTTTAAAGTCTTTGTAACTAGGATAGTTATAAAGTGGCTTATGGTGAGAGCATCACAAGTTAGTTGAAGTCTTTGTAATAGGGTTATTGCAAAGTGGCTTGTAATAGGGAGATTACAAGTTAGTGAAGTTAAAAGCCTACAAGAGTAGGTCGTGGTTTTTTGATCCCCTTGTGTGGGATTTTTACACGTAAAAATCTCTTGTCTTCTTTACTTTCAGTTTCTATAGCATCTTCAGCATCATCTCATATAGGACCAGGTACTCTATAGTTTGGTGGACTCGTACAAACTAACAAGTACTTTTATTCGGAAGTAACAGTTTGTGTTTGACTAATTCATTTGAATATCATTTTTTTTTAAAAGTAAATTATGTTTGACCAATTTTTTCAAAAAGTACTTTGAGTATTAAATTACTAAAAAGTACATTAAAGATGTAATTTGCAATTAGTATTTTTTTTAAAAAAATATATGAATTTAAATATTTATTAAAAAAATTCCTAAAATATAAAACATAAAGTAACTAAACTAAAGATTTTAATCAATATAAAATATAGTTATACTTATTATTTATATGATGATTTAAATATATCAAAATACATCATTCAATATAAATTAAAAATCTACTCTTATAAATTACTATATAAAAGAAGCGATCTATTTATAATAGAGAATATTCCAAAGAGGAACAGGCGAAAGAGAAAAAAATAATGGAAATAAAAAAGAACAGAAAAGTATGGTAGAAAAAAAGTAAACTAATAAGGGATAATTTGCAAATATAAATTTATTGAAAAGATAATTTTATCTTGAATAAATAAATTTTCTGCTTCTGCTTGTTGGAAGAAGCTAGAATTTGTAGCTTCTTCCCAAAAGTAGAAAAATTGTTTTCGCTTCGGCTTAGAAGCACTACTTCATTCCGGCCAAACATCTCAATTTTTTCACAAAGTAATTTTTTTTGGCCAAAAAGCTTGGTCAAACATGCTTTTTCACGAAAATTAATACTTACTAATATTTCGAGATTCTTACGATTTCATCTTACATTTGTTTTTTGTTCTGACACAGGATTGCGTTGCCACTAATGGAGATTTAATTATTCTTTTGACTTATTTATGAATATTCACCCTTGTTAATAATAATGGCATTGACCACTTTCCAGATTTATCTACACTTTAGCTCCTTAAATAAACTTAAACATCTTATTGTCCACATCATTTGGAGTCAAACAAGAATGGCTGCCTTCTTTTCTGACAAGACTAAACTGCTATGTTCATGTTGTTTAATTGCACTTGTCTTGCTTTTGCAATTGAATATGTCAAGATCACAAAAGGTCACGGCCATGTATGTGTTTGGTGACTCTCAAGTAGACGTGGGGAACAACGATTATTTTCAGACAATATTTAGGGCTAATTTTCCTTTCAATGGCATTGATTACCCTGGTGGCAAACCAACAGGAAGATTCAGTAATGGGAAAAATGCTGCTGATTTTCTTGGTAAATAATTCTATCTTTAGGCCTTAATTAATTTGGTGATTGAAATTTACGTCAAAAAACAAAAAGCATTTATTACCCTTTTTTCAGTTTTATCTTTACTGCTCTAATTAATACTCTCCGGTCCACAATAAATGACCAATTTACTTTTTTATTTTGGTCCAAAATAAATGTCCATTTATATAATCAAAAAAAAATTCAATTTATTTTTCCAAAATTACCCTTATATACGTATCCTTAAAAAGTCATTTGCTCCTCACATTTGAGAAGAAAAGTAAGTGCTACTATAACTATTCTTCAACATTTTATTAAGGGTAATTTAGTCACACTAACTATTTTTGTCTAGAATTTAGTATTTCATTAATGGGTGTGCCCAAAGCAAATTGATCACTTATTGTGAAGTGGAGGGAGTACAAATTATTTAAACGTTAGAGATATAAAGAGTCTTATGATTAAACTATTCAATAATATAAATTGAAATTAAGCGGGGATAGTTTCAAAGACCTCTCCTCACGTTTTCCTTCATCATATCAACTTCACTCGTGATTTATGTCTGATTATTCTCTTATTTCAATTTTGGTGTAATAATTCTTTTGACCTATTTTTTTAAACCCCTCCCTAATTAGGAGTATTTATAATGTTTTCATACTTTCCCTCCAGCCTGAGCCGAACCCAAGATCTAACGATCGTGGGTAGAGGTGTTTTTACCACTAAGTAAATTTCACTTGTCTCTTTTGACCTATTTATCATTTATATAAAAGAATTATCCTTTTTATATCACTTTATAATCACGAGAAAGGTAAGTGTGATGGAGCGAAATGTGAACTGATCTAACGATTATCCCTTGAAAGTAAAATAACTTTAATTACTTCACAACATCTCTTCCAAAAATATAGCTTTCATGAACTTGTTGGATTTTATGTAACAGCTGAAAAGGTTGGTTTACCAACACCTCCACCGTATCTTTCGAACAAGGATGGCCTCTTTATGGAAGGTGTAAGCTTTGCCTCGGGAGGAGCTGGAATTTTAAACAGCACCAATGGAACTCCTTTTGTAAGAGCATATCTATATACGTGTCGTTTATGTTTTTGATAAACTTATTTAGAAAATTATTTAATAAAACTAATAATTATATACTACTTCCTCTGTTCCAATTTATGTGAATATGTTTGACTGGACACAGAGCTTAAGAAAAAATAAGACTATTGGAATTTGTGGTTCTAAAAAAGTCAAAAAGGGGCAATTTGTGTGGTTATAAAATTAAGTTTCTCATTAAGGGTAGAATTATAAGTTTAAGCTAAATTGTTTTCAAAATTAAAAAGGGATCATTCTTTTTAGACAGACAAAAAAGGAAATAAGTTCACATAAACCGGAATAGATAGTACTCTTGATTAAGCAATTTCTTATTTTGTTTGTTAGAGTAATTAATGACTATTATAACTTCACTTCTTGGAGTACTATAGTTAAAATTGACAAAAAGTTTATAATACCTTATTGGCTTTTAAAGTAACAAATATTCGGGAAGAAATACTTTTTACTAATGTGACATTATTTATTATTATACTTTGAAAGTTAAATATTTTTGCTTCAACTACGATTTTTCAAAGTTCTTCTAAAATTAATTATTTAATATATAAATTTTATTTTACAAAATTCAGTTTTATACTGAAAATTAGATACTTGACCCTCTTATTCAGATCCACTCGTTATGTGGTCTATCCTTATGTTATGTAATAATTAAACTTCTATGCTTTTAATATAATAGACTCCTCTTTCATTAGCAAAAAGAAAAAGATCCACTCGTTATTTTCTTGATCGAGAAAGTACTACTATGAAAGCTTATCGTCTTTGTTTTCTAAACTATTCATTAAGAGGAGTTGGTGTTTTCTAATGAGTTTTTTATTTTGTACTTTTCCTTTGTCATAGAATGGGACGATTCAACTCTCAAAACAGATAGAGTACTTCTCCGAGTTGCAACAAAGGTTGATCCAAAAGATAGGATACGATGCAGCACAAATACACTTGTCAAGTTCTCTATTTCCAATTGTTATTGGAAGCAATGACCTATTGAATTACTTCACATTCAAACTCCCTATGACCAAGCCACCACGAGAATACATCGATTTTATGCTATCCACCTTTTCCACCCAGCTAAGGGTAAGCTCTAGCATCTCTAGAATTTTTCGTTTATGTCAAACTTTTTTTTTTTTTTAATCATCCGATGTCTGGTATTCAGTATAATTTGCGTCACCTAAGGCCGATTAAAGGGGAAAACACTCTGTATCATGACTTTTTTCATTCACTTGGCTTAACAAAAAAATCACATCCATCCTAATTCCTACCACAAGTCTTGATGGTATCTTGAAGATATTTAGTGGGCGTTTGGACATAAGAATTGTAAAATTCTAAAAAAAAAAAAAAGTGATTTTTTTCAAGTGTAAATGGTATTTGAAAATTAGAGTTGTGTTTGGACAAAAATTTAATTTTGGGTTGTTTTTGAATTTTTGAGTGATGTGAGTGAAAATTTTGAAAAACAGCTTTTTGGAGTTTTTCAAATTTTCGAAAATTTTCAAAATTCATGTTCAAGTGAAAATTGAAAGTTTTATGGCCAAACACTGATTTTTTTTTTAAAAAAAAGTGAAAAAATTCTTATGTCCAAACGGGCTCTTAATAAAACAACAACAAAAAAAATGGTGTCACATAACCCCTTTTTCTTCTACTTTTTGGGTACAGGTTAATTATATATGTAATACAATTACCCTTTCCAAGTAATTTTTGATTGCAGCAATTACAAGGTCTAGGTGCACGTAAATTTCTGATTTTTGGGTTAGCACCCATAGGTTGCACTCCAGCGGAAAGACTTGTGAAAATTACTGAGGGTTATAAATGCAATGACGAGGCCAATTATTGGGCAACGATTTATAATCAAGGTCTACAATCGATGTTGAGAAAATTGAAGTCACAGCTGCAGGAGCATTTCAACTACTCCTACTTGAACACCTATGATTTCTTGGTCAACCTCATCCAAAATCCAACAAAATACGGTATAATCACAAGTTCATTATTCATTCACCCATTTTTCTAATATAAATTGATAGAATTGTTGTTATTGTTAATCAGTATATTTAGCATGTTATTAGGATATTATGTTATTATGTTATGAACAATTACTAATTATTGTTATCTTCTGTTGATTTGATAATGCACCTACTCTAGTATATTGTCACTGTATAAAATTAAACTCTTTTAAATCTGAAAAAATGCAAGATTTCCAATTTTTTATAATATCATGCAATTACAAATATGATTTATTTTTCAGGTTTTCGTGAGGTTAAAGCAGCTTGTTGCGGGACAGGAAGATTAAATGCTGATGTTCCTTGCCTTCCTATTTCAATATATTGTCCCAACAGGAATGATCACGTTTTTTGGGATAGAGTTCATCCTACAGAGGCAGTAGCAAAGATTCTTATTAATACTCTTTTCAATAATACAAAACAATATGTAAACTCAATGGATTTACCCAAATTACTTGCTTTGTGAAGGTAAGACTAGAATAGGCCAATCTACATAGTTATACAACATATATGGTACTTGCTTTGCTTGGTGTAGCTTATCCAAAAAAATATATTAATAACATAAATAAGAATTATTCGTGGGAATGGATACATGATATGTGTATGCTATCATCTGATATTGTATACAGTATGATAAAACTGCTTCAAGTACTTTGGATTACAACGAGGAAAGGGATAATGCAATCTCAAATAGGGTGTTAAACGGGTGGGTCGGGCCGGGCTGGGTTAAGATTTTTGGGCCCGTACAAGTTATGGTCCGGGCCGGTTACGGGTTCGGGTTCATCCGGATAAAAATTGAACCGTAAGGGTTACGGGTTAAGGGGGCCGGGTTTAGTGTATTTTTTAATTTTTTTTGTATTTTGTATAACTATTGTAAGTTATATTAATACAAAGTATTAACATAAAGAATACAAGGAAGATGAGAAAAAATTGCACTTATAAATTGCAAGTGCTACATTTATTTCAAAATTACAAAATTAAAGTTTGCATTTAAAAAGTAAATTAACAAAAAAATAGTAAAACTAAATTTTCATGCATAATAAATTAATAACACTTCATATTAATCTAACAAACTAAAACATTAAGCATAAATACGTCTAATAATTTTAAAATAACAAATTGTCTTAAAATCTTAAATACGAATTTTCGGAGGACGCTCAAGACAATACTTTATATGCTTCCTTAAATTGCATGTGCCTGACCCTGAACGAAGATTTAAGACTTGACCACAGTTCTTGCACTTTACTTTCTGACCTTCTTCATTTTCTTCTACCACCTCAAAGTGTTGTCAAACATATGAGCGCACTCTAGAAGTACGAGGCATGATTTAACTTGAATTGAGATTTGAGAATTGAGATTGAGAAATGAAAATTGAGAGATGAGTGAAGAAACGAGGAAGAGGAGGGGGGTATTTATAGTTTTAGAGAAGGTTAATTTTATAAATTGAAAAAAGTTAAATTTTAAAGAAAAAAGAGGCTATTAATGCAATTAAAGGTGTTAAGCAACGGATCCCTGCCAGGGGTAACCGTTGTCAACGGTTAGTGGGCCCCACAGATTTCAAAAAAAAAAGATTTAGTCATTGTACCGGTCCGGGCCGGTTAAACCAGTACACAGTATTGTTCACGTGGACCGGGTTTGACCGGTCCGGTTAACCGTTAAAAAAAATTAACGGACCAACCCCCTCTACCCCTCCTACCCAGCCCCACCCGGCCCCTATGTACCGGGCCGGGCCGGTTCCGGTTTTTTCCGGTTGGGGCCGATCCAGTTACGGGTCAACCCGGCCCGTTAGACACCCTTAATCTCAATCGCAACAATAAACTTACTCTACTATGGATTCTCGTACATAGTCGACTTCTTGATAATTAACCGTGGAAAGTAAAAGAATTAATTAATTATTGGAAGTACTCATATGTTATTATTGAAGATACTGAT